AGAGTTTCCTTTTGAATATAAAGCCTGTAAAATAGTTCTACAGAGTTTCATTTTGAATATAATTTTGTAAAAAGTATAAATAAATATATGTTGAATGTGGGTTTGTGAAGGATGTAAATGTTGAATGTATGTCTGTGTAAAGTGTCAATGTTGAATATAAATCTGTAAAATGTATAAATGTTAAATGTAAGTTCACACTAGAACTGTTTAAATTTCTCCATCAATTTGTCTATCTGTTTAGACAAATTAGGTAACATTAGTTGTTAAAGGAATGTGTTTCATCTTCAAATATATTTGAACATGTTTTATGATAGGCAAAATACAATTAACAAAGGTGTCATAATTAGGGGAGTTTTTCTGTCTTCTTCCTACAAGTTTCAACTCCTTCTGTTTCTGTTTTGAAAGGGGTAGGCCTCCCACAAAGGGTTAAGCTTCCTACAATCAAGTTAGTTTGTAAAAGTGTCTTATAATTAGCATGGGTTTTGTTTACTTGAGTATTTAAATATTTAATTTAAAATTTTATTTAATTTAAATAGTTAAATATTTCTCACCTCTCCCTCCTCAAGAGTACCCTGGGGTAAAAGTGGGATGGGTCGACATTAGTAGCAGTTGCCTAGGTTAGTGTTTGATTCACAGAGCTTATTCAGGGAGCTGAGTCAGCTCACCAGAGTTGCCTTGAATGCTATACCTGCGACACCTGCTGCATGAATATCACTACTACACTAAAAACCGTCAGGAGAACTGGGACTTCTGAACACCTAAGACTGTTAGGACCAGCTCTCAAGGAGTTTATCTGAGTTAAAATTACTCTATAATTTTACAACTTAAACTAATTACTAAATAAACAAATTAATAAACTTTTTCTTTACAAATTTTGAATATTTCTCAAAAATGGCAGACAATATCACACTCAGGAATTTTAAAACTTTTTTGTTTGTACTATGAATGAAATTTTACATGACATGTAAGAATTTCCTGGGGTGTATACAATGTTTGTCATAATAACAATTAGCATAGTGATCCATCTCATATCAATAAAAAATTGTTTTAATAATGGTAGCAAAAATGAGACACTAATGGGATTGATACAGGCTTTACAAAGTGGTAATGAGGACTTAAATAGAAGGATTCTTTCTATGGAATCTGCTAATTTACCACAAGAACTTTAGTCCGTTAATAATAACTTAACAAGCAGACTGCTACATGTCTATCAGATATCTATAGGAAGACTGAAGTGTGGTGGTATTGTGTTCCCCAAAATATGTGCACCCTAATAAACATATCTGGGGGCAGGGCACAGAACAGCCACTAGATACAGAGGCTAGAAAATGGTGGCACTCACACCTTTAGTCCTAGCACTCCAGAGGCAGAAATCCCTCTGGATCTCTGTGAGTTCAAGGCCACATTGGAAACAGCCAGGCATGGTGACACACGCCTTTAATCCCAAGAAGTGAGCCTTTAATCGCAGGCAGTGATGGCTGAAAGCAGAAAGATATATAAGGCGTGAGGACCAGAAACTAGAAGCATTTGGCTGGTTAAACTTTTAGGCTTTGAGCAGCACAATTCAGCTGAGATTCATTCTGGATGAGGACTGAGAGTCTTCCAGTCTGAGAAAACATGATCAGCTGAGGAACTGGCGAAGTGAGGTAGCTGTGGCTTGTTCTGCTTCTCTGATCTTCCAGCATTCACCCCAATAACTGGCCTCAGGTTTGATTTTATTAATAAGACTCTTTAAGATTCATGCTACACTGAAGAACAGAGCAAGCATCACAATCTCAGAGCCCTGCAGCTACCAGACAAGAATCAGGAAGGAGGCAGGAGAGTGCAGAGGCTGATGGCCCCATCTAGTGGCTTCATCACACTAGAACCCAGGCTGATCTTGACAAATCTTCTAGAAAAGCTACAAATCCAGGCTATCATTGAAAAAGGCCTGGTTTGATGTGTAGTTCCCTCAAATTTAAGAAAAAGAAAATTAAGAAATTACAAAACAATATTGTATACCAAAGAAACTCTGTCTCAAAAAACCAAAAGGAAAAGGAAAAAGGAAAAATCATCATAATGTAAAAACAATCATTTTTAAAGGAGACAAGAGAAGCCCCTTTTGGCAAACCCAGAATGCAACTTCCTACTATCTGACCTCCCCAAGAAATCCTCAATCAGACACATATTCATTTCCTAGAACACTACAGAACAGCAGTGAAATATGGACTGAGATCCAGCATCCTATTCTCCTATGGGCTAAGTGTCTCTAACTGGAGTCAGGGCTTACTCAAACTGAAATAGAAATTAATACCTCTAGAAACTCTGCTTTCTCAACAACCAAACTGGCAATGAATATACCAATATACCAACACAACAGCCCTTAGTAACACTAGCAAAGCCACATACTTCTAGTGACAAACTGATGCACTATGAAAAAAATGCTTTGTGGTAGTCAGAAGTTTTCTCCAGTCCCGCCCAGCCCTGAGATCCCACAGATGCTTATAAAATAACCTCTCACAGGCTTAATATTATTTACAAACTGTATGGTCTATGGCAGGCCTCTTGCTAGCTAGCTCTTATATTTTAAACTAACCCATTTCTATTAATCTATGTTTTGCCACATGTTCCATGGCTTACCAATCTGTTGGCATATTGTTCCTAGGGCAGCAGGCTGGTGTCTCTCTGCCTCTGCCTTTCTTCTTCCTGTCCTTCTCTTGGATTTCCTGCCTGCTATAACCTGACTTGCCATAGGCGACAGTAGCTTCTTTATTAACCAAATAGAGCAACACATATTCACAGCATACAGAAAGATATCCCCCAGGATTTCTATCTAATCAAAATGGAAGGTTTTAGCTTTAACATAGTAAAATCACATATAATAAAACAGTTATCAAGCAAGAATTACAGTTACAATATCTAGTCTATTTGTATTTGGCAAAGTTAATGAAAATATTCTGTCTATACTTATGAATCTAAAGTTTCATATCTAATTTATCTTTTATCATAACCAAGGACAATTATAATTATAACTATCTAATTTTCAACTACATCAAAGACCCCAGACAGACAAAATATTACCTAAGTAAACCGGAAAAGGATTGTAAGCAAATTCCAAAAATCTAGAATGACAGAGGCAGCTGTCTGTCTGGATAGTCACCCAAAGTTCCTCCGCAACACTGGGCATCCATCATCAGCCTATAGGCCTGGAGTCTCTCAGTTGCTTCTCCCTGTGTCCTGTAGAATATCTGGCAGTCTCCTCTGTGAAGCAGGAACCTGAAGGACCATCTTATCTTGTTTTGGCAGAATTTAGTGGTCATTTTTCCATGGGTTCTGCATGTCCAGTCAATACAACATTTTGTCAAACAGTCCAGGCAAGAGTAGTTTCTTGCCCAAATAGCCAGTTCTGCCAAGGAGAAAATAAACTCTATATGGAGTGTCTTCAATGCCCATCTTCCTCTTTGAAGTAAATTGGTGCTGCCAGGAGAAGACGTGTCTAATCATCCAGGAAAGTCTAACTTTTTAAAACATTTAAATGCCATATTCTATAGGTCTTTGAAGTGTTTGAAGATTACTTATCTATCTGAAATGTATCTCTGCATATCTAGAAAACCTAATTAACATGACTGTAAGGTTGATTATCATAAATGATTCATTATTAGTCTGTATTTCTTAATTATACACTATAATTTCAATGAGCTGTACACACATAATACCTGAAACAAGAGTAGAAATATACATACAGTATAACAAAATTAACATTAAATTGGTATCAATAAACTAAAATCCATAGCAATGTAAAACATTTTGAACAAGTTGTTGCTCTTTAAAAGTAGATTCAAGCCGGGCGGTGGTGGCGCACGCCTTTAATCCCAGCACTCAGGAGGCAGAGCCAGGCGGATCTCTGTGAGTTCGAGGCCAGCCTGGACTACCAAGTGAGTTCCAGGAAAGGCGCAAAGCTACACAGAGAAACCCTGTCTCGAAAAACCAAAAAAAAAAAAAAAAAAAAAAAAAAAAAAAAAAAAAAAGTAGATTCAATAATCTATCCTTTTATTCTATCATGTCTATATCACTTTGTCTCTCTGAAATAAATTTAAATGTAAAGATGATCTGGAGACAATTATACGTTTAGAACTCTGAATGAAACCAGTGATAGTCCCAAACCTGGTCAATCCTGGAACAGGACTTCTCTCAGGCAGAAAGCCTGGGTCCTGCTCCCCCCTTTCCCCTTCATTTCTGCATTGTCTCCTTCCAGCACCTAATTCAGAGTCCAGTGGGTGAGGACAGGACACTGAGCACCAAGTCAGACTGCAGTGAAAATGAATTCAATCACTTGGTCCACTAATTTCTTCCCCTGATGTCTGCCTGGTCCATTCTCACCATGGCAACCTCTCCTGACATGAAACACCCATCCTTATCCTAAGATCAACCACATAACAATGCATCATATTTCAAGAGCTATGAGAAAGCATAACCAACTCTAATGGTGATGTTAGAATTCCTTCTATTTATCTATCAGGGAAATTAAAACCTATATGTGCCCATGATTTTACCCTTGGGGAAGGGAGGGAAAGTGACATTTTAAATTACAATAAAAATAGATAAAGCATGATCATAAAATGTTTCTAAATTCAGGATGCCATCCCACCTGTGCTCACTCACTTTTTAAAAAATTTTTTTTAATCCTATTCCTTTCTTAATGATTTTAATAACCAAGGCCAGAGTCTATTTCTGACACTACTGATGATTATGTTGACTAAAGGAAACACAAAATTTAAAAATGTTCATGTTTGAGAGAATGCACTGTAGTATGTGGAGAAACTGAGGCAGTGTGAACATAAGAATTAAGATGATGTTAACAGTGAGTTTGAGTATAAACAGTTGAGGGTCACCCTCTCCACCACTGCTGGATGAACCGACAGAGAAAATAGCCCTGGAGTTGTAAAGGGTGTTTGCACTGTCCAATCTGGTTGTTGTCTTTCCAGTCTCAGGCAGAAGACCCCTCAGAGGGCCACTGGGATTCATTCTGTATGGTAAAGACTGTCTTCAATAATGTAGACATTGTCTTCAGCTCTGGACTTCACATCTGCTGTATTTTGAAAAGTTCCCATCTTAGAGACACGGAATGCTACCAAGCTGCAGAGGGAGAGAGAGAGAGAGAGAGAGAGAGAGAGAGAGAGAGAGAGAGAGAGAGAGAGAGAGAGAGAGAGATTAAAGAAAGAACAAGAGGTCACCTTTCAGGTCTCAGCAGAACTTTCATTTACGATGTATGCTCAGGACTCCAAGAGAACCATTCACAAAAACTCTCACAGTGAACAGCACCACACAGGGCCCTCCTATTAAGTCATAGAAAAGTTTGTTTAATAGGCATCAGACTAAATAAAAATTATTTTTTTTAAAAAGCAGCTTATATTGGAGTCCTTCAAGATAATAATGTAATAAAACACAAAAGTTGGAGACCTAGGGAGACAGATATCTAGGTACCTAATCAGGATGTACATTTGGGAACTGGGCTAGGAACCTGATAACTCATGTGTTTACTTGCACTGTGACACTTTAGAAAGGGTTAGGAGAGCCAGGTAACCTGAGTGTGATTCCTGGAGGCCTTGGAAAGGGAGAAAGAAAGAGCCATGTCCACAGTTCCACAGTGTTGTCCTCTGACCTTCACAGGTGCCACACATTATCACGCTCCCATACACACATCATGTGCACAATAATACATAGTTTTTTTCTTTATTTAAAAAGAAAGGATCTGGAAACCTGCACAGCATATTCATCCTCTGACATTAAGCATGAAGTAGAAAAACATTTAAACAACAAAGCAGTGTCTTTGTACTGGATCTGGTGGTTTGTGGCCCAATTTCAAAGACTGCTGTATGACCCACATTCACAGATGCCACATTAACACAAACATCACGAACTGGACTGAAAGCAGAGAGCACTGCAGATGTTCACAACTGGCCCATCCCAACAGATGTGGAAGGGGCTTCACTTGGAGAGCTCATTCTTTGCCCATGTAAATCAGGGTAGGCATAGTGGGCTGACATTTGAGCTTCTAGAACTCATGGAGGAGCAAACCAGAGAAGAAAACAGAGGATCTCAGGGGTGATGTTTTGATATAGTGAAGGCGACTAGTTTGGAGTGTGGAGACACTGGCCATACTACAATTCTGTTACATGCCGGCAGCCTCAGAAATGATCTTCCTCAAATTCTTCTGCTCTCTTGGGCTTGCCCAAACAGTCCACCACCTAACCCTGTAATCTCACCATACTTGCCTAAAAGCATCTAAAAGGACCTTTCTGCTAGCTTATATGCCTTGTGATACAATTCATCAGGTTTTATTAGAATAGGAACTCAGTGAAAGAAAACACTGAGGAAAACAAGAGTGGATCAAGTCAACTCCTTCAACACCAGCTCCAGGAAGCAAAATGTCGAACTCAGCGACTACCTATAGGAGACGAGGATAAAGGGCCTTTTCTTCCTGTCCTACCAAAAATGCAGGAAATATGGAATGCAGAAAATATCTCTGAGAAATTAGGGAAACAAGAAAAAGACTCACTAAACTTTTATTTGGAATCCAATGTACAGAATGGGGGTCAAGTTGTGGAACACAGTGTAAGCCCAAAACAAAAAAGTCTGAGGCAGGAGGATTGTGAGTTCCAGCCTGGCCTAGGCTACATAGCAAGTTCCAGGCCAGCCCAGCCACATAATAAGACCATGCCTCAAATCAACCAACCAATCAATGAATCCAAATACTAAAGAATGATTTAGTAGGAATAGAGAGACATTCTCAAGACTGTTAGTTCAAAAAGAATCAACACAATCCATGCCAGCTTACCTTAGAGACTCTGACTTCTTTTTCATAAGGATGTACCCTAAATTGGGGTGGAAGGTGGTGAGAGAAATTGAAAGGAAAATTGAACATGTCATCAGAAACACTCATGATATTTTCTCCTAATCAAGGATATTGCGCCAGTTTTTGATTGGTAACTTTGGGTAATTCCTTCCTGTACCCTGCAGGAAGGAGATTCTTTCCATTCATTGTCTGTAATATTCATCCACATCTATCTAATCTGATAAATGAACTTGGTAAATTATTGTTCACTGAGACAAACAAAAAGTCTAGATTCTTTTCTAATGGGCTTCTAGAGAACAAGCCAGTAAAGGAAGGATAAACAACTTTGGACTAAGGAAGGGAACACATTTGTGGAATTTTACTCAATTTCTATATAATTCTCCCTTTTAGACATGCTCTGATATGTAGCCCAGGCTAGCCACAGACTTGTAGAATGCTGGTATTATAAACACATGACACTAGATCCACCTTAAACAATCACTTTGAATGGACACCTTTGAAATAATTAGAGGGAAACATCTGAAATCTAACAGGCATATTCTTATTCCCTATTTCCTGTGAAACAGATGAGTAATGATCTCTTGCATGGTGTTTTGTAAAGTCCATGGCTGAAGTTCTTACACAGGGAATGGACCACATGGAGAGAAAGACTGTGTACAGTTGCACAACTCATGGAAAGGGCCATGTAGGCCTGGGTGCCACCTTCAAATTATTTGTTCAGCATCAGTCATGGGGGTTCCCACCAATGTCTCATTTGCCTCTTTACTAACTATGTTCCAGAACATTCAACAGTATCATCATGGAAAACAAGAAAGATCCCATGGGTGGGAAAGGAGAGTACACATCAAAGTCTTACAGTGACCTAAAAAATATCAAGCCTATCCAAAATCTCTTGTGTCATAGTATGTAATTTATTTTATGGAAAATATAATGCTACTCTTATGATGGCAACAACTGAGACACAAAAGACAGGGTTAGGAAAGAACAGTATTGCCAAGATCTGCAGCCTATTCCTTCGAGCCCAGCACTTGGATGCTGGAGGCAGGAGGATCTGGAGTCTTGTATCTGGAGATATAAAACCATGTGAACTTCAAGCCCCTGAGACATGTACACTTGCTAAAGACAGTCAGAGAACCCTGGCTCTCCTTCCCTGGGGGCAGTTGTGAAATTACTTACTGGTGACAGCCAGGGTGCACATAAGTAGCAGCAGCAGCAGGGCATCAATGGAGATGCCGATATAGAAGTCATTAGTCGTGTTCTTCTGCCACTCCTGTGAAAGGATTGAATCCTAAGGAAACAATAAATAAAACAACAGTAGCAATAAATAAACAGCGGTAAACACAGGGGCAGCAAGTGAGAGGAACAGAAAACACGTGCTTCACCTTAACCTAGACTCTAGGTCCTAGAGCTTCATCTTTCCCAGCCTGTGGCTAGTCTGGAATATGAGGAAGACCCAAGGATCTGAGGTGGTATTGGGCAGTGCAACTCCAAGACAGTATGAATTCAGTGTATTTGATGATGATGGAAACGTGTTCTATGTTGATTGAGGTGATTACATGGGTGGATACCTCAGTTAAAATTTTAACCTCACAATTAATGTAGGTTCATACATCATGTATGTGATTATGTCTGCTTTAATAGTCAGTAGGGTATTCCCTAAATTCCAGAAATCATCTTATGATATTAAAAGAGAAAAAAAGAGTAGCCCATCTCTAAGTTCACTTGCTCTCAGTGTGCTCAGCTCCTGGTCTGGTCTTCCATCACAGACGCTACTTGTCATGTAAATGCAACTCAAGATTCCATGTCTTTATAAACATCTAATACCAAAAGGTCAGCGTGGAAACATATACACACAAATAACATACACACTGTGTAGGTCATATTAACATTTTTAGGAAAACATATATTATTAAATATGAATATATATAATATATAACATATCGTATGCAGTTGGTAGGAATATACTAACAATTGTATATTATATGTTAATATATTGCATATTATATAATTATAACTTATATATTATATGTGTTAATATATTAATATATTTATATATTAACAATTAAAGCAACAGAGACCATGAATTAGAAAGAAAACAAGGAGAGGGTATGTGGAAGGATTTGGAGAGGGTTGAAAAAAAAGGGAAACAATACAACTATATTTAATAACTTTCTAAAAATAGTAGGAAGACTCTGTTCCTGGATGCAGTCTGAATAACACCTTGTGACCAGACAAAAATGTAGAATCTCCCCTGATGCCCTGGTGCAGGTGATCAGGGATCACCACATACTGGAATAAGCAGGAGACAGGCTGGGGAGCAGGTGAGGCCCCTCTAATAGCTTAGCACTAATCTACCAACCCTAAACAGAGCCTATGGAATGGGTTTAACTGCAAGGAAGTAGAGAAATAGAGACCAGGTCCTTGTCCCTGTATGAGCCTCGTCTCTAGAGTCACAATCCCTGCTCCTCTGCCTAGTTAGGGAGACCATGGACAAGTTAGTTAACCTCTGTGAGCTCTATCTCTACATCTTCTAACAACCTGTTCAGTAGGGTTCTGAGGAAAGGGATTCTGTGTGGAGAATATAGAAGAAAATAAGGTTTGTTTGTTATTCTAACAGAGTCTCCTGGTCCTAGGCTGGCCTGAATCTCACTACTTGACAATGAACTCGAATCTATGATCCTCCTTTCTACCTTTCCTGAGTGCTTGGAGTGTATGTGTGTCTACTATACCCACATGAACATTTACTTCATAACATTTTCCTGATTATGAATAACAGCAATGCATATCCTCTCTCATTGTTCTTAACAAATTTTGTTCAAGTTTTTCATTAAACAGAATCCAGGTAGTTGATGTATTAGTTCAAGATGTATGCTACAACTGATAGATATGGGTGTGCATACCTTAATACCAGTACCTGAGAAATGGAAGCAGGAGGGTCAGGAATTCCAGAGCCTACTTGGGTACATAGCCCTTTCAAAGACAGCCTGAGTAAAATGGGATTCTGTCTCAAATAAACAAACAAAGAAACACCCTGAAAACAAAGTCATGTGCTGCTGTACATTGCTTTCAATGCACCCAAACATAGCTTGATATCTTAAGAGTCCAGATTCTGCTATGACTTATTTTGAATTTAACTCTAAATTTTTTCTTCGGGCTGCTAAGAATGACTATTACTCAGATAACTGAGGCAAGAACAGCCTGGATATGTAGAACCAGAAGTCTGCTCCCTTAGCAACATATACTTAATGGTTTCTAATATTTAACTAGTATATACAGATTCTTTCCATATCTGCCAGACCACTGGATGCTAATGTCAATTAGATCATTACATTTTAGTATCAACCTGGGCATGTGACAATGGCCTATAACCACAGTACTCAGTAGGCAGGAAGATTGTGAATTCTAGGCCATCCTGAGGTATGAAATAAGATTGTTTCTCAAGGAAGTGGGTCAGTTATGTCCATGCCTATAAATTCAGTTCTTGAAAGACAGAGGCAGAAAGGTCAGGAGTTCAAGGTCATCCTCAGCTATGCAGTGAGTTCAAGGACAGCTGGACTACATGAGACTCTGTCTCAAAAAACAAACAAAAGAAACTTACACTCAGCTTCTACTTGTTATGATCTGACTGTCAATAGGCACAAAAGCCTTAGGTTATTTGGCCCTACGTAGATTTCCACCATATCTTGAGGGTTTTATGGTTGCTGGGTGTTTGGGGCACTCCAAACCAAGGCTTTGTACATGCTAACAAGTGTTCTGCTGCTTCCAACAGCCAAATAATCCTCACAACCCCCTATCTAGATTTTTTCTTACTTCAACCACCATTTCTCCTGCACTACTTACACATACTAAGTCAAACCTTGCTTCTTCCTAGAGCCAAAAGGGAAAAATCCTATTACAGATGATTTCCCTCTGCTATTTGTAGGATAGAACTCTGGCAAGAATCTTGAAAGCAGAGGGCCTTAGATATTTTCTCATTCGGAGTACACAGAAAGTCTAGGAAAAATCATGCAAAATTAATAATGTCTAAGACCTTAATACCTTATGTGGAGGTTTGTGTGTGGAAAAGATATCACCAGTGGGCTCTATAGAGAATAGTCACTGAGTAGAAAAACAATATTAGGAGGCTGTAAATGAACATCTTGAATTCAAACACCCTTTGTAAGCATCAGATTCTTCTATTTAATTTCTTTATTTTTATACATTTATAAGTTCGTTTATCTACAGTTTTAGTGTCAGGGTCTCTCTCTATGTAGCCCAAGTGGCCTAATGTTCCAGGCTGGCCTCAAACTTCTGATATTTGTATTAACTTTCTGAGTCCTAAGAATAAGGAATATACCACTATATCTGACTCTTTTTCTTTTCTTCTTCTGCTTTTTTTTTTTTTTTTTTGGTTTTTCAAGACAGGGTTTCTCTGTGTAGCTTTGCGCCTTTCCTGGAACTCACTTGGTAGTCCAGGCTGGCCTCGAACTCACAGAGATTCGCCTGGCTCTGCCTCCCGAGTGCTGGGATTAAAGGTGTGCGCCACCACCGCCCGGCGCTTCTTCTGCTTTTTTGATGCAAATATCTGTGAACTAATTTTACAAAGTCTTTAAATACAAATTGTTTCCCAGAAGATATACAAGTTAATATGTCTAATAAATTGGGGAGGAATATACTTACAGTGTAATTACTGCAAAAGTCATCTGAGGATGTCACAGTGTAATTCCAATCTGTCCAACAAGAGGAAAAATTAATTACAATTACAAAAATTTAGATCTTATTCTACATCTGTAAATATTACCCACAAGGCCAATGTATCTTATAATATGTGAGGGTTAGGATTAAATATGGCAAGACATTCACTGAAAAGCAAGATTTGAACATTTAGATATTCAAAGTATATTTGAAATGTCTATTTTATAACAAGTAATCTATTGTCTTCATTGTTTCCATGTGTCTATGTATGAAACACAGAATTCTCTTTTTGCAAATATCTGGCATATATGGGTTGTGACATCCTGACAAGGATCCCCTTAAGCACATTTTACAGATGAAGCAGTGAACATCAGAATACTCCATACTTCTAATTTTACCAAATGACAGACATCTTGGTTGGCAACATACACACAGTGCCTGCCCATATAATAAGTTGAAATACTAAAGGTCTATGGGAGTCCCCAACTGCTAAAACTGGCATTTCCCATCATGAATAAAGATGAATGACTCATAGCCTTCCTCATACTCACATTACCATGTTTACATTACTCTCTATGAGAACCCTTACAAGGAGCCAAAGGCAATCGCTATGTTAAGTCAACATCTACAGTCTGGGCTCTGTTTGTGACTTAAGCCCTTAAGTAAAACCTTCCAGGAATAGGAGGAAGTGATTCAGTAAGGTAAAGCAGAATCAGACCAAATTTGAATTCAATGCTGACCATATTCATTAGCAAAGTGACCTTCATCATCAAGGTCCTGCCCATAAGTACTGAGGAATACATGCATGAGCACTCAACACTGTTGGAAACATTTGTGATGTTATTATTGTTATGTGATGGAAGGAACAGGGAGCAGGAGGGTGAATACTGTGGAATTTACTTTAGAAATATCATACTGTTTATCTAATGAGGAGCATTCAACAACTTGTCAAAAGAAGTGTACCTAGAATTGGGGAATAAATTGGAAGGTATGTGTCTCCAAAGAGGAATTAAAGAGTTTCCCCAATCTTGCAGTGACATAAATTGCCAAGAAATAATGAAATGGGATGGCATGTAAGATTCCTGGCAGACACAGCTATCAAAGGCAGAGAGTAGGCCATGTGACATCCAAATCCCATTCAGTCCAAACATTTCTTGCTTTTGCAAAATGTTCATCAAGAAATGGGTGCCATGAGCCAGGAAGGAATCAGCCCAGGAGCCTCAAGTTAAAAGGCCCAAATGTCAGAAGTCTCAAGGAGACCAGGGACACAGGTACTCCAGTCCCTGCTCCACTCTGGAAAGCTCCCCTCTGACCAGGGTTAGATGACATGGCATTACATACACTGAACTCCCTCCTTCCTTCTTCTTCACAGATGAGGACGGTGGCAGACAGCAGCTCCTGCTGCCTTGTGTTTCTATCTGTTTCTTTTTGTTTTTCTACCTGGAAACAGTTCACACTAAGGATTTCCCTCTCAACATCCAAAGGTCACAATTATCTAATCCCTTCTGATTCTGTGGGTTCACTGCATATGACTTTAAATTAACTAATGTCTCAGAAAGCCTAGAAAAATGTAGGCCACACTGGGATGAGAAAAACATAGATAAGCAGCACCTGAGAATATTGAGTCACACACACATACACACAGGCTCCTTCACACACAATCACTCAGGGTTCTGTAAGGCCCAGCCTTGTTTGGATGAGCCTCAAGGACACAGGAACCTGGTTTAAACCACAAAGGCCAGCATGTGGCAATCTCAACTTACCATGATTGATAGTATAGAGCTGGCTGAGAAAGATGGCAGACTTCAGCATCACCATAGTTGATTAAGCAAGACATGCCACTATAGTTTGAAGGATAAGAAGTAGTATAGGACCCAACCAGAGTGTGGAGAGTGGGGCCAAGAGAGAGTGAGAATTAGGGTCTCAGTGCTGCAAGCCTATTTTGGTGCTGCCGTTGGTATGCTCAACCCACCTTGGTCCATTCAGGTTGCTATAACAAAATTACTTAGAGTAAGTAAACTAGAAACAAAAGAAATGCACTGTTCATAGTTCTAAAGGCTGGGAAGTCCTAGATCCAGACACAAGCTGACTGAGTAATTGCCAAGGCTCCTTTGTTCATAGATGATTCTTTTTATGTGTCCCCAAGTGAAGGAAAGGGAAAACCAGCCCCATCAGCCCTCTTACAAAGGATCTAACACTGTGCACAAACTTCTTACTTTTATAATGTACTCACCTTCCTGATGACCTCAGTGCTTAATCTACTGTATTGAGGATTAAGTATTACCAAAGAAATTTATGGGGACACAAACATTCAGACCACAGTGAAACCTCAGACATCCCATGTGACCTGAGATTGACAAGGCAGAAGAGAACACTCTGCTACACTGGAAAAAGTATAAGTATAAGCCTAAAAATACGACTGTTGATAGAGCATTTATTAAGATGATGTTGGTGTATTCGGCTATAACAAGGTTATTGTAGATACCAGGGAGCTGGGTTCACTAGTTTAAGTCCCAAAGAACCAAGTCCAGTGATGAGCTTGGGAATCAAACTGAGTCATTTGCTTTGTAAAAGAGGCAAATGAATGTAGATGTTCCCAAGTCATAGCAGCTACCTGTTGCAGAATATTCCTTGACACTGTGTGAAGATGTGTCACTGTGATTGGTTTAATAAAGAGCAGAATGACCAATAGCGAGGCAGAAAGAAGTCAGATGGGACTTCATGGGACAGAGAGGACTGGAAAAGGAAGAAAAGCAGAGTTGCCAGCCAGACTGAGAGGAAGCAAGATGGGGAGTACAGAGTAGAGGTAACTGAGCCACATTAAAAACAAAAGTAGTTCAAAAGATAGGGGTTAATTTGAGTTATAAGATCTAGTTAGGAACAAGCCTAAGCTAAGGCCAAGCTTTTTTTTTTTTTTTTTTTTTTTTTTGGTTTTTCGAGATAGGGATTCTCTGTGTAGCTTTGTGCCTTTCCTGGATCTTGCTCTGTAGACCAGGCTGGCCTCAAACTCACAGAGATCTGCCTGGCTATGCCTCCCAAGTGCTGGGGTTAATGGCGTGTGCTACCATTGCCCGGCTTAAGGCCAAGCTTTTATGATTAATAAGTCTCTGTGTCATTTTTTTGTGAGCTGGCAGCCCAAAGGAAAATCCATCTACAGCTACTCGCTTCCAGTCCTCCAGGCACTATGCCTAACACTTTAGCTGTCATCATATCTATCACTTACCCCCTTTGCAGATATGACACAAGCCTCTCATCACACTTCTCAACCACAATATTCTGTAGAATTGATTGCAATAAACTGATTTTACATTTAAAAAATCAAGTGGCATTATGTTCATTGAATAAATAATAGAACAAATTCATGAGATTACATATTTCTATGTCACACAACTGTTAGCCAAGTCAGGAACAGGATAGAAAGTTAGGAGTAATCAATGAGCCACAGAATGGAAGCCTGCAGCATGGGGGAAGGAAATGGTTTATTGTTCCAGAATGAATAGGAGGGTGGCTGTATTGTTTATTCTATTGACAAAGTCAAGAAGCTTCAGGGAAACACTGATAAAGGACAGAATTTCATACTGAGGCAGTCAACACTGTTCAAAGACATCACAACCAAAGTTGGCATAAGCAACAGGCAAGTCACATTTGTTGAGGGTCAAAAGATATAGACACTCATGTTTCTAGCCTTTCGTTCCCATTCCTCAATATAAACAAATATCCCTCTGAAATCTACATCACAATAATGTTTATGGAAGAATATTATTTAACTATACGTTTGTTGTAAATTTGGAGCATTATTTCCAAACCAACAGCAGCAGAAGGGATGATGCAATTCCTAGAAACCACCAGAGATCCGACTTGAGAGCTACCACATCACATGTATACTCAGTGTAAAGAAACCTAAGTGCTTTGCATGGAGAAGTCCATACACATGCCTCAGTGTGCCCTATTCCTTTCCCAAGCATCTGTTTTCATGATGAGCAGGTGCTTAGGATCTGAGTTAAATATCTTCAACACTCCATTACATTGACTGTCCCTGAAATTCTTTTCCTCAGAGAAGCCACACAGCCTAGTTTGGCCTTAATGGAGGTGTTTGTGGGGAAGAGAGCAACTGAAAATGCTGGGGGAGAGGGAGTGTAGAATGGAGCTGTGTCTCTGTCCCTGCCACCACTTATAATGTCAGATCTGTATTGTTGCAGAGGTTGCCTATTCTTCACCAGCTTTATCAGGATCTGGACCTTCCAAGGGGATAAGGGAGGAGAACTGAGTTACCTGCAAGAGTATAGGATGGGGTTTCTGTCACCTCAGCTGTTGTCTGATGTGGATAAAATGTAGTGGGTTCTGGAATGAGAACAATGCAAGAACTGTTTCAGCTTTGGAGTTTGGCCCCCCACCAAAAAAAATAGAAACAAAACTTACTGTCACCTCCCCCAGTGCCTCCCCCAGCCTACTCACCAGGAATGGCTCCTTCCCATAAATTCCTGTACTAAGAGTGACTTCCTGTGTTTTCTGACTCATCTTCCATTACTCACCAAAGGCTTCCACATGGAACACTCTAGTGCAGCCTGTGTTTCCCTTTTCTTCTGGAGTCCCTACATTGTTCTCACCCACAGCTCACTTCACCTGCAGGACTGAGCACTTGCCTCTCTGGGATCCTCTAAATGCTTCCCTTTTCACAACAAGGGAGGATCTTGGAGTAAGTTGGTTGTTTCCAGACTGGAATACCTAAACCTGGGCTTCTCATGGCTCCTCAGGGTCTCTCTGGATCCCCTACCTCACTACAACCTGATCCTTACACTTGATCAACACCCTCCTGTTCTGCACTACTGTCCTCTTTTGTCCTGACACTCAAACATGTGAGAGGATGTGACTGTCCTTCTGAACTAATGACAGGACAACACAAATGTCAGACGGTCACACATTACACAATCCAGTTTATGATAAAAGGCATCATGAGATTAATTTCCTTCCCGAGTCTGGGTCACTTTCTCCTGTTCCTACTACATCACATCCTATAGTCCACGAAGAGTGTCTGGGGCAACTAGGATGAGATAAGACACATATGTGAGGATATGTGTCCTTTTTACAGTAGCCAGAGTGTTGCCTTCTCCCTGGACTGGATAGTCAACCCTCAACTGCAATTCTTTAGGAAATCAACAATAGAATTATAAGATTGTATTAAACACCCTCCAGGAGGTTATCTGGGCTCAATGGACCAAAACTTCTCTTCTAAATCTCAGTTGTAGTTTCCATAAAGTCAATAACCTGTCCATGTTCTTCAAACTCAGCCCATGAACCCATCCCCTGACACAGACAAAAACTAAGTATTGAAAAGTTCTGTCAGTCCTGAGAGATCTCACAGTTCTCTAGTGTGTGCAGTGGCCTGGAACAGAGGGTTGTTCTCACAAATCCTGTGCTCTAACATCCCAGTTATAACCTAGAGCTCTCTGAACACTTGGTGTGTAGCCCAGTCCTTTAGGGTCCTCCTGCTTGAAAGTACCGGAAGGCCAATCAGAGGACAGGAAAAAATATTACCCATCAGATTACCCTAAGAACAACAACAACAGAAAGCTGTGTGGCTTCTTCTGCTTGTCAGCATCCAGCCCTCCCTCAGGGGACGGACAGTTTCTAGGAAGCTCGAAAGCCCCTCTCACAGCTATCTTTTCACTCCTAGGTGTACAAGGTTTAAACCCAGACTTGCCTTCAGGATGGCATGCTTCTCCCCATCTGTAAGTTCAGTTCCCTATGTAATAATATTAACTTTACCTGGAGGCAATATGAAGTATGAACTACATGGCTTCATCAAAAGCATGAGCATGTTAAATCACTTCCTAAAGCCTTCTAATAGATGTGTGTTTTTTCATTCCTACAAAGGACTTACACTGTGTTTTCATGTTACATGAATAAATTGAGAGATCCTTAAAGTAAACTTTACAAGTCATTTATTGCCTCTTTAAAAGCGTGGTGTTGCCGGGCGGTGGTGGCGCACGCCTTTAATCCCAGCACTCGGGAGGCAGAGCCAGGCGGATCTCTGTGAGTTCGAGGCCAGCCTGGACTACCAAGTGAGTTCCAGGAAAGGCGCAAAACTACACAGAGAAACCCTGTCTCGAAAAAACCAAAAAAAAAAAAAAAAAGCGTGGTGTTAGGATCTCTTTCCAGTAGCATCCATGTTCATGGCAGAGGTCTGGCCCTGGAGTCAGAAGAACCAGCTTCCAACCCAAGTGAACAGGGGCAGAGTCTGAGCCCCTTTCTGTCTTCATAACTTCCACCATGAACTTTCTGACTCTGTTAGTTCCTTTCACTGTAAAATAGGGACAGGTCACAGCTATATAGGAATCAAGTGTCTGAGAATTAAGCATTACATCATGAAGCGTGTAGCATACTGCCATATGCTCATGAAGTGCTAAATGTTAGCTTCCCTGAACTGTGGCCTCAGCTGGCTGGCTCAATTTCAGAATGGATGTAAAGGGTCAAGTGTCTCCCCATCCTGACCCTAGTTCTCAGTCATTCCTTGGTTTTTTATCAGAAAGTCATGTCTAGCTGGACTGGATTCCCACCATCCTCATCAGCTATCCTAGATCAATAATCCATCTCAGTTGGCTAGTAGTGTGTGGTAATATATTGTGTCGTCGTCGTGTCCCCCCACCCCCTGCGCCCGCCAATATATTGTGCACCCCATTAAAAAGGCCATACTGGGGAACAGAGCCAGGCATGGTAAAACATACCTTTAATCCCAGCAATAAACCATAGATGTCTGGAGTTCTGTACAGACAGAGAGGAACTGATGTAGCTGGGCAGAAAGAGAAAGTGAGATGCAGAACAGAAAGACATATAGACATGGGTATATAGGAAGTAGGTATCTTTGGCTGAGGATTATCAAGTGTTAACAACATGGCTGGCTTCTTTTTGGTCTTCTGATCTCTCAGATAACCTTTATTAGGGTGCACAATATATTGGGGGACACAATATATCACCACAACAGTGAATCCCTAAGGAGTCTGATATGGAGAGACAGGTGTCATCCATCTACAAGCTCTTGTACAGCAGAGGGTGAATGCAACTTAAGACTGGGAAATTATAGACTTTGTGAAGCTGTTGTTGGCTCAGCTAAGAACTCGTCACCTATATTATATTTCTGACTTGACTCAGTGTCCATGTCCTACCGACTCTTATGAGAAGGACTCTGGGTCCTGAACCACATTGGGTTGTACCTGGTGTGTGAGTCTGTGTGTGTGCTGGTGTTGGAGGAGTAGAGGTGGAGACTCGGGGTGATGTAGGTACATGGGTGAGTCTTGTTGAAATAGTTATGGGTCTTCCTGAAGATGTGGGTCTTCCAGTAGTTGTGGGTCTTGCTGTAGTTGTGGGTCTTGCTGTAGTTGTGGGTCTTCCTGTAGTTGTGGGTCTTCCTATAGTTGTGGGTCTTGCTGTAGTTGTGGGTCTTGCTGTAGTTGTGGGTCTTCCTGCAGTTGTAGGTTTTCCTGTAGTTATGGGTCTTGCTATAGTTGTTGGTCTTCCTGTAGTTGTGGGTTTTCTTGCAGTTGTGGAACTTCCTGTAGTTGTGGGTCTTGCTGTAGTTGTGGGTCTTGCTGTAGTTGTGGGTCTTGCTGTAGTTGTGGGTCTTGCTGTAGATGTGGGTCTTGCTGTTGTTGTGGGTCTTCCTGTAGTTGTGGGTCTTCTTGTAGTTGTGGGTCTTGCTGTAGTTGTGGATTTTCTTGTAGTTGTGCGTTTTCTTGTAGTTGTGTGTCTTCGTGTAGTCGTGGGAATTGCTGGATTTGGAAATCAAGATGAAACAAGGATCAGTCAACTAGAAGAGACAAGAACTTCTGCTATGGCACCAGTGAGAAGCTGAACCCTGAGAGACTCCTCTCCTGAACTTCTGTTCTTCGTCACTGACTAGCTGCACTGACAACATGGTTCTGAGAACAGAGTCCATGTTCCTAAGGATATACTGTATAAATGACAGATGTCAGATCCTCAGATCCCCAAGCATCTCTATGAGACTGAGAGGGGGTGGACGCTGGGACTGCTCTCAGTAGTGACTGACTTCACCCACAGCTTCCATGCCCGGCATGGTCACTTCAATCAGTCCTGAGGGGACACAACATACAACTCTGAATCTTAGCATGCAGATCCCACACAAGCTGCAATGCAAACGGGACTTGCACATTGGGGTATAGAGCAGACATTGTCTTCTATGGTTTCTTCCAACCTAAGAGAGACAAGGTCAATATCCCTTATCAAAAAAAATATTTGGTTTCAGAATTTGAATTTTTCTTAACAATTTTGAATAATTGCATATAGAAAATATCTCATGGGTCAAGTTCAAGTATAAACATGGATAGATGTAGCTCTCATTTGCCTGCACTTTACATATACAGCTTTAAAGAAAGTTTATAAAATTTGATAATTCTGCACATGATAATTTCATGGCATTGGATTTTCCAAGTGTATTATCAAGTCTGTGCTCAAAAGTTTCCTGATTGTGAATCACCAAGTCTAGGTACTTTTGGATTAGTCAGGTTCAACCTACAATTCACAAGTCAATAGCATCCAAAGTACTGCAAGCATCCAAGCAGCTACTGGTGGTCTTGGTATGCAGGAACTAAGGCAAAGTGGTGCTGAAACCTAACAGTCAGCCAGGCACTCAGGCTTGTGTGTGTCAGCAGACATACGTTCCCCGTGAGGTAGCTCCCTTGACCTTAAATATGGTAACTATAAAATAAAACCTCAGCCAGGAGGAACAATTTCTTTGAAAACTCTCCTTTATGTGGGATACAGTGTAATTCCTCAATCCAGTGTGGGCTTACCATAAAATGAAGAAAAATCTGTAGTGGGAATAGAGTTTCCCCTTATATTCACTACATTAATTAATTTATTTATTTGTGTGTTTGTGGGATGTCACAAATGTGGATGCCAGGGGATCACCTTTCAGAGTCTGTTCTCTCCTTCTGTAGGGCCTTGACCCCCGTTTTGGGTAGCTGTTGCCTTGCTTGCTGACCTTGACCTATGCCAATCCCCTGCCAGTTTCCTCCCTCCTAAATGCTTAGGGGAAGTTCCTTGCTTGTGTATCCTGCATATTGGGCATTAACAGCTAGGATGCAAGAATGTAAAACATCAGTAGTGATCTTCTACCCTCCGGGGTTCTCCCATTGTGCTGTAAGCCTGTATTTAAGACCTCCTCCCTCCTTCAATAAATGGCATTCGGCATTCTGCTGAGGCAAATGACCCGCAGTCTCTTGTCTCTGCTTTTTGATCCACAGCCCCTCGCTCGGACATGGTGAACAGGTACTGGTAGCGCAGGTGTTACCGCTACATCCTTCTGTCATGTGGGCCCAGGGATTGAACTCAGGTCATTAAGTTTCACAATGGGCACCTTTCCCCACTGAGCCATCTCACTGACCCTCAAGCCCCTTTTATGTAGAGGGTCAGATGAAAGGATTTTTGTCTCAGGGACATAAAAACAGGAGTTCAGGAGCAAGCACTCATGTCAGTCAGTGTGAAAGTCACTGCTGACAACTTAGCAAGGAGTGGGTGTGGCTGTGCTGCAATAAAACTATTCTCAGCAGCAGGGGGTCTCTTTATAATCTGGTCTGGTTAGTTTGCTGATCCAGTCTAATGTGTGGGCAGAGGCCTGAGCACAGTACACACCCTCCCTGGAGAGTGTAAATCTCTAAGGTGGAGAAAAGCAAGCACGTGAACAATCTAGTCAGAAGATCACTGTGAGAACAAAGCCAGGAAAGAATCACCAGCTCAGGAGCTTTGCTTTTCTTGCTTGGGCATTTTTTCTCCCAGGTAGATGGGGAAGTCCAAAGGAGGTCATGAGGGTCCCAGAACAACTGAAGAGGAAGCTCTGTGTGTTTAAACTATGAGAAGATGTGGACTTATGGATATTGTAAGCACTGACCTGCTAAGGAATTTCTAAGCTCCATAAAACCTTCAATTAAAGAACTGAAATTAGTAATTTTATGCTGTGATGCCACACATAGGCCCCTTCTGCTGCTGAGAATCTAGCCCCATGGTTTTAGGCAGGAATGTGTGCTAGACAAGTGACTTCCAAAGCCACAACCACAGCCCTTTCTAGCTTATTGTGTGTTTGCAGTTCTAGGGATGGAGCCCAAGGCTTCAGGCATGCTCGACAAATTTCTAGACATCCCCTAAGGCCTTCTTTACAAAAGATGAAAAGAGATCTTTCTCTTGCTTTCTCTCTCTCCCACATCCCCCTGTGTGTGTGTATATGTGTGTGTGTGTGTGTGTGTGTGTGTGTGTGTGTGTAAGGTTTATTATAATATGAATGGGTACCCTTCGAAGCCACTATCATTGATCTTCAGCTAGGTAAGTAATATAATTTCACACTTGCGACAGGCACTCAGAACCTTATGTCTCTTCCCCAAAGCTGTCTCTATAGATCATTCTTTGCACACTCTATAACCAACTTTTTCTGGCTTCCCTAAGAGGCCTCTCAGGCATAGTTTTGCAAGGCAGTTCCTTGCCCCATCAGAATGGACCTCATCCTAAGGAGGTGGTATTGCACATGTCCATGCTCTCAACACTGGGGAGGCTAAGGCATGGGCAAGAAGTTCCAGGTCAGCCTGATTTACCAAGCAAGACCCAGTCTCAAAATCAATTAATCAATTAATAAACTGCTGCTCATCTGTTAGTACACTGCTGAGTGACAGGGAACAGGTGTTGGAGGGAACCTTCTTCTATATGGACATTTCCAGTGTGACAAGATGAGAGACCTATTTCAAAGGCCCAAAGGCAGGGCAGACAGGCAGCAGAACTCTCCACCTATGATGTGGCCTGTGCTCAGCAAGGTCAGCTGACCATTGTTGAAATCAGCTCACAGAGCAGCAGACCCCTACCCTGTCTGCTTTTCAGGTTGGAGCTGGAGTGGCTTTACAGTGTTGACCATGGGGATTCAACATTCTAAGAGAGACCCACAGAAAAGAGACAGTTCTTAAAGTCACATACTTCCAGCTTAAATAAAGCTCTCCACTGTGTTTCAGGATGGAGAGTGGAGGCAGTATCATGACCAACAAGACTGTCCCAAGTACACTTAGGACCTGGATCCTGACTTAGCTCATGGTCTTGAATTAAGAATGATCTTAGGACTTCATCTAAGCAAATAAAGTCATCCTGTGCCTCAAAAGAGAATATTTAAGGCTGGGTTTGGTGGCACATGCCTGTGTTCCCAACACTGGAGTTAGAGACAGGAGGATCAGGAGAGCATGGTCGTCAGAGGACAGCCTGAGATACAGGAAATTATGTCTTTAAACAACTCAAAAGCAAGTGTTCAATCAAACATGTTTCTAAGAACTTTCTGTTTCCATGTTCTAGGAAAACAACAAATTATTAGCAAACAGAGGACTCAGTTTACTTGAAAGAAATAAACAAAGGAAAGAAAGAAAGCTTACCTGGTCTAACTTCCAAGGAAAAGGTCGATATCTGATCATTGAACCATCCAGGGATCTTCACTCGACAGCAATACACACCACTGTCACTCTGAACAGCATTCTCTATTGTCAAGGACACGTTTCCTCCCGAAATATGCCCCTTTAGCTGGTATCTACTGCTACTCCGATAGGTGACACGGTATCCATTGGTCTGGATAATTATGTTTACACAATTAAAAGCTGAGCATGTTCCTAGACCCCAACAAGTGGTAGTGATTCCTCGGGATGTTGAGTAAGTACATGGCAGTGTGACAGGGTGATCAATCACCCCCTTCACTACTCTATGAGAACTCACAGCACCTGTGATGGAAAAAAGGGGGGAGGGGAAGAAATGTAGAATTAGTACCCAGCATTTTCCTAAAATATTATTGCTTTTGTTGTTGTATTTCAGAAAAATATGGGGAGGGGGGGCTTAAGTGGAACCCCAGCTGCAGACCTTCTTCATTTACTGTTTTGTTTTTGTGTTTTATTGTTTAAGTTTGGGGTTTTTTGTGGGGAAGGCATGAAAGAGAACAGACAGCTTAATGTTTGTTGTTTTCATTTGGCTTCCTGAGCCAGGGTCTCATTTTGTACCCTTGGCTGGCCTTGAACTTTCTGCATAAACCAAGCTGACTTTAAACTCCAAGAGCTCCACTGACTCTACCTCCCCAAACCTAATATTAAATGTCCAGTTTTATAGTTTGAATTTGAAGACTGTAAACAGTTTTCTCTTAGCATATTCTTTCTTAGTGTGATTACTTAAGGCTACATTTGTGAACAAGAGAACTAATTCTGTGGTAGGATATTCACACAGATACTTTTCATTTCTTTTTTCTTCTTCAGTGTGTGTATTTCTTTTGTACACAGGGTCTTGCTATATGCCTCATACTGGCTTAAAGTGACAATCCTCCCATTTCTGCCTCCTGAGTGCGGGGGTAATTAGCAAGTGCCACTGAGACCAGCTCAAATGTTTCATTATTAAACATTTAAAAGTTTATTTCAGAAGCTGGGCCCATAACTAATGCTTGTAAACCCAGAACTCCCTTGTAAACCCAGAGTACACTTGTAAATTCAGAACTCACTTGCATACCCAGAATTCACTAGTATACCCAGAACTTAAGAGGTTGAGTGAGCAAGACAGGCCTAGGATTTGGAGACCCTGTCTCAAACCACCCCCCTCCACAGTGCTTTGACAACAAAATCACTAACTCTTCCCACCTCTCCAATCAAAGAGCAGAGCCAGGGCTTTGAAAAAGCATTTTTGGCTTCAAGGCAGAACCTTAGTAACTTCAAAGTCAATCTTCAGAAAGGGGTTTAGAAAACCACCAGGAGGGGCTGAGCTTTATTCTGAACTTTACGATTAGCACTTTAGGAACCAACAACAAAACATGAAATCAACCAAATCAACAACAAAAAAAAAAAAAAAAAAACACTAAACAGAAGTTTTTTCTTATGAGTTGGTGACATTCCAGAAATTAAGCAAGATCCACTAGCAAAGTAAGACCACACAGTCAGAAAATATGTAACCAACAACTTAATGATGCAATTTAAAAACTGAAATGATTAATATAATTCTTTTGGGGATGATGGAATAAATTTTCTAAGACCAACAGCTTCCACAGCAGCCTTTAAAGGAACTCTGAGGACTGAGGATAGAGCTCCATGATACAATGCTTGGCCAGCCCATGCTAGCCCCTGTGTTGGATCCCAGCACAGGAAACAAACAAATAAACAAACAAAAGCACAAAATAATGAACTGTGAGATTCCTGAACCAATCACCTATATGCAGGACTAGGCTGTGAGGTTAGGACATGATCTAGAAAACACATTAATAATTGCATAAAATAAGTATATTCTCTCTGAGATACTCATTTCTTGATTTTGTCAAATACCTTTTTTAGGATCACAAATAAAAACACGCTATTTTAATTAATTCACAGAAATATATTTTATTTCTCACCAGTGATCTCAACTTTTAGGAGAATCTCAGACCTAGAGGCAGAAGAATCAAAAGTTTGAGGTGATCCTCAGCTAGCTATTAAGTTGGGGGCTAGCCTGGACTAACTTAGACCCTGTCTCTAAGATAATTATGCTATTCGTTCTTTTACACTGCATGGAAGACTCTGATTCTTACTTTTTGTTAACAGTTGACTAACATATACACACACATGCACTCACACTTACTTGTCTATCACATGAATACATGTGTTCTCACTTTTGCCTGACATGTTCTTGGGGATCATGTTTATTTAGCCATGAGTTTTGAAATTCTTACAAGTTAAGAAAGTTCTTTGGAGCTACAATTTATCCTGGTTCTCTGCTCACAACATAAGCCATAATAAAAAAGGCCCGAGGATTGTCATTTCATCTGCCAGCTCTAGCCTCCTCAGCATGCCCCAGCTCACCTACTCACTTACCTGGGAGAAGCAGTATAAGGCCTGAAATGAAGACTTGAGGATGCATCATGGTATTGACCTGAAGGACAACGAGAAGACATTGGTTAGCTGCTGCACTCAGCACACTGTGTCAGGGCATGGATCCACTCTGACTATGAATCACATAGGCCTCTCTGCTAGGGACTGCTGTCCTCCCAAATCCCCTCTTCTTTCCCCGTCCTCCCTCACATACAGCCACCAATCTCACTTCTGGTCATGACATATAAAGGCAGCAAACAGAGTAAACTGAAGGCAGAGACAAGAGTGTGTTCTCTTGGTAGAACTCTAAGCAGAGACCAGCATTCTAATGGCAAAGATGCATTTGCCTCCTGGTGGACACAGAGCTGTTTCTGACCAGTAGATACAGTGGTTAGTCCCTGAATCTCAACTACCTTAATCACTAGCAAGATATCCTGAGCCAAAATAATGCCACACATGGTGTCTGAGACCACATCTTCCTGGGGGATGTCTAGAGATACCTAGAAAAGCACAGGGTAGATCAATACCTTCCATTCACAGAGCTCTTCCATGCCTAGATTTCCTCCTACATAAAATAGCAAAGATGCATTGCTCAGCTCTTTGGAGAATCTGCTATGAAGGAGACAATGTACTGTTTACCCACAGGCAGCAAATCCTTGTGGAACTCCTAAAGCAGCTACTTTTAAGTCCATTTATGATGGACGTTACTTGTCTTCAGACTCCAACATCTGGATTTCAATGTTTGTTTCTTAATTGGTAAACCATAAAAACATGAATAAGTGTGCCTCGTACTTCATTAACTCTACTTCTAGTCAGAAGATTCCATGACTCTTCTCAGAGAGGAAAGTGTGCCTTGTTACCAGTCTTAAAGATAGTAATGGCTTTCATGAAGCCTCCATGAGCTCAGCATCTTCAGGCCTCGTTCCCTGCAATATTCACACTAGCAGCCCCTGTACTGAGAAGACATCAGAAATCTAATGCTGCAAAATGGTGGCCAAACAATGACTTTCGTGGGCATTTTAAACATCTTATTTCTTTATTACAAGACAACTTCAAAACATATAAAACCAACATGACACACAACTGTCCTACTATTTAACATAGTACCAACCATTCTGTCCCTTTAGAGTTCTATTGAGGAAGGGTCATGTACTTGGGCATTCACTGTCTCAGGTTACCTTCTTGACACATGCTCACTATCACTGAGATATCTCACAGGATGTCTTATGGCCTACTTGCTCATAAAATGAAAGGAACAGACAGTGATGGCTAATAACTTTCTAGGTTCCCAAAGAAAACCTTCTCCACATTCTGGAATCCAACTGAGTAACTAGGTGAGGTCTACCATGGAGTAAGCACCTTGCCGGTGGCTTGAAATCCTTTTATTTTCTGTCTCCACTTGATACTTGAGAAGAATACTTGAGTCCTTCTCAACTACTAAAGTTTGAGCTGTAGTTCCCTGTAGAATCCACACTGTGAAGATGCTGCCAGGAAACTGTGAAGGGATGGAAAGTTGAAGTTCAACAGCCAAAAATACTATTATTTCTCTCTGGTCTCCTCAGTAGCCATTTACTACCAACCCCTGCATCTAGGCTAGCATCTTTAAGACAATCAGGAACAACCTCTGGAAGTACTGTTATATTTTCACACAGCTAACCTCAACCAATCCTATAGCTAAGAATTATAGAACATCAGAAATCTATATAAGAGATTTTTGTATTCTGTTGTATCCCATCTGCCCAAGTTCCCACCAGGATACTTGGTAAATGACTTCCTTTTGTCCTGGAACTATAAACTTTTGTATAGCTTCTACCACAATGGAACATGATCTTCATGATAAAATAACCTACATTGTGTTCCTGAGCCTTGGTCACACCAATATAGATCTCAATAATCTCTTGTTTTCTTTGGAATAAGAGCAGGATTGTACCATGAATCTTAAAAGGTCTTATTAATAAAAATAAACCTGGAGCAAGGTATTGGGGTGAATGCTGGAAGTTCGGAGAGGCAGAACGAGCCACAGCTACCTCATCTTGCCAATTCCTCAGCTGATCCTGTTTCCTCAGACTGGAAGTTTCTAGGTCCTCATCCAGAATGAATCTCAGCTGAACTGTTGCTCAAAATCCTAAAAGCTTAACCAGGCTTTAGTTCATGGTCCTCACGCCTTATATACCTTTCTGCTTCCTGCCATCACTTCCTTAGATTAAAGGCGTAAGTCACCATGCCTAGCTGTTTCTAGGATGGCTTTGAACTCACAGAGATCCAGGAGGATATCTGCCTCTGAAATTCTAGGATTAAAAGTATGTGTGCCACCATTTTCTGGCCTCTATATCTAGTGGCTGTTCTACTCTCTGACCCCAGATCAGTTTATTGGGGTGCACAATATTTTGGGGAACACAATATCACCACACAGGATTTTTCTAATTTTAAAATTTTCATTTAAATATTTTTTGTGTCAGGCAATGCATGAGCATACCAGGGGACACATGTGGTCAGAGGATAACTATGGGTAGTTGGTTCTCTCCTTCTATAATGCTGGTTCTGAGCATTGAACTCAGGTCTTCAGGATTGGTGACAAGCACCTTTATCTACTGAGGCATCTCATGGGCTCAAGGACTGCATTTTGTACAGGCAAAAGATAGCAGAAAAAATATTAGTGTGGTTCACACAGAATTAAAACACGCCTTATTCATTTGAAAGGCAACATCTTTCAATACTAGTTTTACTATGACCTAGGATCAGGCCAAATCCCAATGTCCTTAAGAAGGAATTTTGAAAGATTTTTATTTCAATGCAGCTATAATTAATAAACTAAGGATGGTGGAGTATGGTTCAGCACAATAAGGATGTAAAATATCCAGAATTGTGCAAGCAACTTACATAGTAGTGAGCAATTAACAAATAAATTCACAAACAGTGAGACAGATGGTAAATGTGTAATCAGACCATGTCATGTCCCTCTGACAACTCTACCTCAGCTCTCTCAAGGAGCAGGGAACCCAATTCCTTAGCCAGTGTTTTTACAAAGTCCCTGCCTAGGGCTCAGATTTGCTTTCCTGACTCCTGTCCCACAGCCACGTGGGCTCTCTTTCCAATTCATCTCCTAAGGTCTGTCCAGATACTGTTCTGTCTTGGCTCTTCTTCCTTAACCCCACAGACAGATGAAGATTGGAGCTGAGGAGCTGAGCCATTAAATACCCACAAATCCTTAGGGTTCAATATCCTCATACTAGCCCATGGGTTCCCACAAGACCAGCCGTCATGCCCTAATGTTCACAGAGGACATAACCCAGTAGAATTTCTTACTATTTATTTATTACTCTTATAATAAACTCTCTACTACTGTCTGTGAATGTGTGCAGGCCATGGCACTCATGTGAAGGAGAAAACAACTGTCAGAGGTTGTTTCTCCCCTTCCATCATTATTAGAATTCCAGGATCAACTCGTGTATCTGTTCGGCCAAGCACCTTGATCCCTGAGCCTTGTTAGGATGATGAAATTTTTTTTTCGTTAACTTGAGTTTTGCAGTCTTCCTGAGTCACCATATTTTAGGGTCAACTTTGGCATCCTCTGAAGGTTACTCATCACTTGCAGGAGAGTACTGTGTGATGACAGGACTCAGGTATGAGACCAGAATCCCCAGTTCCTTACTTAAAAAGAACTGGATGAGAATTCTGCACTCTCATACCAGTCCCAGCACACAGGAGGCTTTCTGGGGGCTGAGAAACTCCAAGGAATGGCACATGCTGGCCTTCTTCCTGCCCCACCCTATCCTAAGACAGTGGAGCCCATGCTGATAGCTCCTGTGGTGACTGGCCCCCTCCTCTGTGCCCTCCCTTCTTCCCTCCGGGTTTGGTTTGCATAACAACTCCAGAAGGTGGGAGGCTGTTAACTGGCAGGTAATGCCCAGCTTGGGAAGGGCATGAAAATCTCTGGATGTTGGACTGTGACCTGAGCCTGGCAAGGTTCCCAGCACCCCTGCACCGGCCAGGTTAAATGGGGATAGCACACTGCCAAAACCCACCTCAACTGAGCCTCTGCTGCCCTCTCTGAAATAGTTCATCTGTTTGAATTCTCTTCATTTTCACCAAAGCAAGACCCATTGGCCCCCCCTGCACCACTACTAGGTACTCACTGAATCACTCCATTGTACCTCAACCTCACCATTTTATGTTAGGACTCTATCCATAACCAGATTCCTGAAATCCCCTCCACATGGTCTCCTTGTGTCCCATAGCCCTCTGACAACCCTGCTACCATGTAAGCCAGCCATTTCTCTCTCTCTCTCATTTCTCTCTCTCTCTCTCTCTCTCTCTCTCTCTCTCTCTCTCTCTCTCTCTCTCTCTCTCCTCTCTTTTTCGAGACAGGGTTTCTCTGTGTAGCTTTGGGCCTGTCCTGGATCTCCCTCTGTAGACCAGGCTGGCCTCGAACTCATAAAGATCTGCCTGCCTCTGCCTCCCGAGTGCTGGAATTAAAGGCATGCACCACCACTGCCTGGCTAATTTCTCTTAACTTCTGATTCACATTAAAATGCAAATATTTTAGGACTACAGAGATGGCTCATGGTAGAGAAGGTCTGTTGTGGAATATTATGTTAAGGTGTGTTACCTTTGTTTATGCTGTGGAACATTTATTTAACGATGTAAAGATGTGTTGTTGTTGTTGTTTTAATGCTGCATTTGTTTAACTCTGTGAAGCTGTGATTCTTTGCCTGTCTAAAACACCTGATGCTCTAATAAAGAGCTGAATTGTCAATAAAAAGGCAGGAGAAAGGATAGGTGGGGCTGGCAGGTAGAGAGAAGAACTAGGGGGATAAATCTGAAGGCTGGAGAAGGAACAAGAAAGGGAAGAGTAGAGGATGCTAGGGGTAAGCCCCCCAGCCCCCCAGCCACTCAGCCAGCCAGATACCCAGCAACCCAGCGAGCCAAGAAGTAAGACTGAAAGTAAGATACACAGAAGTAAGAAAAGGAAAAATCCCAGAGAAAAAACGTAGACAGGTTAATTTAAGAAAAGCTGGCTAGAAATAAGCCAGGCTAAAGCCTAGCATTAAT